AAAAAAAAAAAAAAAAAGGTAAACATATGAGCAGATGAGGACAAAGATGACTCTCCACTGATCTATCATAAGCTAACAAAAGAATGCTTAGCATATAACAACATATTTTTGTATGAATAGGTATTACTGTCTCATCTACTCTTATAAGTTTCTACATCCCAGTCCAGTTCTGAATGTCAAAACCAAGATATTTCTTTTTAAAAAATATTTTATTTATGCAGAAGTGGTGTACAGGCCAGAGGTACAGGGGCAGCAAGAAGATTCACCAGAGACAGAGTGGGGAGAAGAACAGGCAGATTGACAAAGTACACTGCTGAGGGGAGCAGCAGTGAGACAGGAGAGGTCTGCTGCACCATGTGGGTCACCGGCAGGGTGAGGATCGAACTCGCACTAAAGCAGCTGTGGCTTGGCTTAGCTTCGCAGTGCAGCACTCCAAGCTCCTGAGCCACCAGGGAGGGCTTCAAACCAAGATATTTCTAAGGAGCTCTAAGATTAAAACGCAACTAAATACTCTGACTTCCTAGTGTTCCCTTAGAAAAATTATCAAGACCAGTGTTTTCTCCTAACAAAGGAATTCCGATGTAAGTGCTATGTTCTGGTGAAAAAAAAATAAAAGCCTTTAAAATGTGTCCACTCATAAGTGCCACTTTCAGAGAAGATTAACTTGGGCCAACACTGAAATAGGTCTTTCATGAATCAAGAGCCTTATTAAAGATGACTTCAATTCACATTTCCTGGCTTTGTGTTTCTGTGGAATTTCTGGATTACTATGATGCATAAAACATGACCGTCCATTTCAATCAATTCATTTGAAGTAAGGAACTGCTAGTAACAGCACATTTTACGCCATGCAGTCCCAGACAACTCCCTAAAAGGATGACGAAATAGGGTCCTCAGGAAGCGTCTCTGGAACACAGACCAGAGTGTAGGAAATTTATAAGGAAAAGACCTTGAGGTTACCATCAGTGGGAGGGACAGGAAGCAAACGAATTAGACCGAGAGGGACACTGAGCTGAGCTGCAGTCCCAACCAGGGTCTCAGACAACCCCTCAGGTAGCTTTGGAGCTGAGGTGACCCTGGCAATGTTCTCCCAAGCTTGGAGCCTAGACCTTGTACGCCAATACTGACCAGGCGCTGGACACATCTGCTGTGGAAAACAATGCATTTTTCTTCAACTGAGAAAATCTCCAACAAAAGGCTAGCCTCCAAGGAGCACCTGCCATAGGCTTACGGCCTGGAGAGAATAAACTGTTTGTCAGGGACCGTGGGGGATGCTGCATCCTGATTTTGATGGTTGCCACAGCTTTGCTTATTCCCTAGCTTTACCACCCCTGGGTTAAATCTCAATTATTTTTTGCCTAGTTATGAAGCTTAGAACAATGGAATCCTTCTCTTAGCATCTTTGTGTCTTTTCTCGTTAAAATTTAGTCACATTGGCCCTCCCTGGTGGCGCAGCGGGTTAAAGCACAGCACTGAGAAACTAAAGCCACTTCCGCATGACTTCGATTCCCGCCTGCCCCGGAGGTGACCACATGGTGCGGCAGACCTCTCCTGACCCACCCGCTGCTCCCCTTAGCAATGTATTTCGTCGATCTGCCTGTTCTCCCCACTCTGTCTCTGGTGAAGCCTCTCGCCGCCCCTGAGCCTCTGGCCTGTACCCCAGTTCTGTATGAACAAATAAATAAATCTTAAAAAAAAAAAATTAGTCACATTGCTAAATCTTCTCTCAGCTTATTTCATTCAATTCCAGCGTCATGCACCTTGTTTAATGTGCTTAATAGCAGATGCTGTGGGTTGCACAAGGCTTGCTTTGTTTTTGTTTTGTAAATGCAGCTGCATGTGATATATATACACCCAGGGGGTCACGCCATGTGTTTCCAGTGTGTGCGCTTATGAGTGAAATTGCTCGTCTAGGACATTTGTGTTTTCAGTGCTAATATGAAATGCCAAAGTACTTTCTGATTTTCACTCACAACAGCCATGTCTGAGTGCGCCCGCTGATCTGGCTGTACCACTGGGAGAGACTAGGAAATGCTGGAAGAAGACCTCCAAGTCACAACAACAAACTAGGTTTTCAGTAGTATTCCTCACCCACGAAGACAAAGAGCTATCTGGCCACGGCAGGATCTGGCTGATGGCGCAGGTGTGGCAACGTTACCGTGAGAACTTTTACTTCTCTAAATACATATCCAGGGCATTTGCAGACAGAGACTTCACTGCTTCTTCCTTTTCAAATCTTCTGCTTCTAAATACTTTCTCTTACCTGCCTGCATTGGTGTTTCACACATTTAAAGTTATATTACTAGATATATACAAATATTTATACTTCTTATCGTTAGGAAGTGAGATATGGACAGAAATAAAATTGTAGAGCATTGTTGAGGAAACATTAAAAATCAGGACCCATAGAGTCCTGTCTAGACAGGCAATGCCAAGGTGAAAAGGCTCAGTGTAAAGAAGACCAGGGGCAAGTGCTATAAATACGATGGGAAGTGACAGGGAGAAGCATGTACAAGGCAGCCTACAGAAATAATGATGAGTCCTTTCCTAAAAAGGGGTAATCAGAGATGTTTTCACAGAGGTCATGAGAGCCACAGATGATGGATCTGGTAGGTACTGGGTGCTTATTGAATTTCTTTTCAAATAAATGGGTTAAGGCATTACCCTCAGTAGTATGACCCAGGCAACAGCATGTTCAGATGGAATGTGGGATTTCCAGGAAGTTACAAGTGATTTATTTAGCATCACCTGAATGCTGCCATCTTGCCACCGCAGTCCCTCTGCACTGCCTCCCCCCACCCCCACCCCCGCCAACACCTGCTGTGTTACGAGTACAGTGCCCACTGCAGTCGCCCATATCACACTTGGGCTCACACCAAATGGAATCCAGAAAACCTTTATTTTCACACTAGGGAGCAAGGATGAAATTCTGCATTAAAAGACCCCGCTTTGTGGCAACTTCCATATCATCTGGTGACTCAAAAATTCAAATTTCAATTTATTTCCAAATTAGGTTTACTTACTACCAACACTAATTTTCCTTTGGCTATGTAGTATCCCCTGCCCCCGCCCTCCAGTTAAAATAATGTCATAGAGGTCATGTTCATTTAAATAACTTTCAGGAAGGTTTCTGTTACCTTTCACACTAGCATGTCATCCTCAAATCACAAATCATCTGACCCAAATCCTTCCTGGCAGGAAAAAAGTCATTCAGCGAGTTGAGGCATCTGACCTCAACTCTTAGGAACTCTGCGGCTTGCTCAGGAAACGTGGTCTCTGGCTTCACTGGCTGCTAAGACGAGGCAGCGCTTCTGACGCTGTCACTAGAGGGGCGATGGGACACACTGGGCCTCACAGTCTGCCTTGGTTTCAAACCGGTTGGCATTGCCCCCACAGCTGCCATACCAGAACTGCTGGCACGCCTGCAGCCCCCTGTCGTAGTACCACTTCAGGATGTACTGCTGGCACTCGCCCTGCATCGGATCCATGGAACAAGGACCTGCAGCAAAGCAGATGCAGAGAGAGGTGAATTTCCTGCATGAGCATGAGAAGGAAGAAGAGAGGGTTTGGCGTCACCGAGCTGCGGATGAATTTTAGCTTCACCACCAGCAGCAGGCTGTGTGACCTGGAGTAAGTAGCAACTTCTCGGAGCCTCAATTTCCTCTGTCATAAAAGCAATACATTTTTTTAAAACCCTACTTCACACTTTTTTGGTAACATAGTACATATGTGAGAGGTACAATAAGTTGGGCCCCCCAGTACCCCCTGAATTAATTCCATCCAGTAGGAGATTTGCAAGGCACAAGGTCTGTCCTTGAATGGCTGTCAGTGAAGTGCTTCAGCGGCACACACGCACTCTGTGCGCTTGAAAGGAAAGTGCACACTGACACAGGGCAGAGGAATGCTTTGGGATGGTAAAGATTTTTTTTTAAAAATGAGAATTTAGCTTAAGGAATGGGAGTCATTTTTGTTTTTACCACCAGCAGTGCTTGAATTTCTCTCTTTTCCCATTTCTCTGTGTTCTGAGGACATGTCTCGTTCATTTTCCTCGGCACCGTATCTGTTCATTTCATACATTTCAAGGTCTGGCGTGGCTTCTCTCTTTTCCTCTAGAACGAGGTCTGTTGTTTCCAGCGTGCTCAAATCAGCGGCAGAGCCAGGAATGTCAAGCTGGTGCTGGGCAAACCTGCACAGACAGAACCGTGAGGCGCTGCATTACCAAACCAGCAGCACCATCGGGGGACAGTTCCCCGCTAATGGCGCTGGGCCCAGTGAGCTTCAGACAGCAAGCTTGACGCATGTCCTGATGACAAGCTGTTGTCTTTGTACAGATGTTTGGACAAACTTCAGAACATGTTTAACAAACAAATCATGTGAGGAAAAACCAAATGCTGAGCTTCGGAGAACAGATGAGTGGTTGTGGGGAGGGGCAGTGAAAAAAGTGGGTATGGAGGATCAGTGGTATGGTGGTGGGTGGAATCCAGGCTCCTGGTAATGATATAATGCTGTGAATCTAAAAATAGAATAATCTTATCAATCAATGTTACTTGAATTTTTTTAAAAGGGGAATCTTACAGAGGTTAAAGTTGACAGACACCATTAAGCAATCAAAATGATAATACAGAAAAAAATAGTAAATGTAGGGTTATTAATTTTTCCTCTGAGATGTGGGGGGAGAGTCAGTAGAATGGAAATTTTTCATGTTTGCTTTTATATGTGTATGTGCTCTTTGAATAGTTTTATGTTGTATAATGCAACATTAAAAAACAAGAAAATGGGCCCTCCCTGGTGGCCCAGTGGGTTAGGATACAGCACTGCAAGCTAGCCACAACCACCTCTGTGTGAGTTGGATCCCTGGCCCCAGAGGTGAGTGCATGGCATGGTCAGGAGCAGACCTCTCCTGACCCACCTGCTGCTCCCCTCAGCAGTGCACTTTGTCCATCTGCCTGTTCTGCTCCCCGCTCTGTCTCTGGTGAATCCTCTCACAGCCCCTGCACCTCTGGCCTGTACCCCAGTTCTGTGTGCATAAATAAATAAACCTTAAAAAAAAAAAGGAAACCAAACCATGTCAGAGTTGTCAAACACAGGAGCATCCTTGGCTCAAGAACTGGCCTGTGACCTCCCTTTAGACAGACAGTCTCCTGCAGGGACAGAGCTACAGACAGCCTCGGCTCTGCCGCCAGCCCACCTCTGGATGGTGAACAACGGTTTCAGCTTGGTGTCTCCTCGGCTGGGGCCCTCACATTCTTCAATCAGCTCCGGGGGTGGGTACTGGTTTGTTCCACCTAAATACAATTTTAAAAATTATTTTTTTCACTGTATTAACTTTAAAATAATATGAAACTTAAAATAAGTATGAAGTAAAATAAAGCATAAAAATAAAATGTTATCTAAAACAAAAATTAAAGACATGAAATCAAAGCATAACGTCAAACATACACTAAAACAAAATGAAAAAACAAGAAACTTAATTAAAAATAAAACAAAACCAAAAATCCATTAACATACAAAATCAGAGTTGTAAAATAAATTCAAATGAAGCATAAAATATAAAAATAAAACAAAATAAAAACACGAAATTCATCCTATCATACAAATAATTTTAAAATAAGATCATAGCATCTAAAGGTAATAATATAAAATACAACCTAATATACAGAAACATAAACAATGAAATGAAATTTAATTCCTCAGCATCAGTGAGCCATCAACACCATCCACTGCACTCCTCTCCTTCATCTCCTGCAAAGTCAAGGAATCTGAAGTGCAGGCTGGGTCAGAGGCCCTCCCAGGATCACACAGCTCATTGGAGAAAAGGCTAAAACTCAAGCCAACTCGTCGATCTTTGTATTTCTTAAACTGGAAATACAAAGCACACATGCTATGTCCGTGCTTCAGAGACGTCCATCAGTGACGGGTATCAGTGATGTAAGGAAAGATGTCCTCAAAGCCCCCTCGGCATGTCGCACCCACTTCTACAGTGAGACACAAAGTCTCCCAGCGAGGACGAGGAGCGTCATATGTCACAGCCGCGCCCGAGCAGCTCTGGGCATGTACTGGTGGATGAAGCCCAGTCCGATCTCCCTTACCAGGCTTGGGCTACTGATCTGAGACTGGCCACCGATGAGTCTGATTCAGCCTGCTGACTGGTGGTGAGGACACCAGGTCGGGAGGCAGGACACACTGTCACAGTGCCCCCGACTGCTCACTGCGGGTTTCATTCACTCCACCTGGTGTGGGGCTCCCGGACTTCGTTCCTGTCTGCCTCCCCCTTCCGAGATCCTTGGAACCTCTGAAAGCAAGCGCCTGATACGTCTGTCATGTTACTCACTGACTAGCAGCTGCAGCAGCATCACATAGAAAATGCAGAATATCAGGTTCTAATTAAGAACCCACATTTTAATAGGATGCCCAGGAGCAGTGCATGCACATTAAAACTTAAGGAACAGGGCCCTTCCTGGGGTGCAACATGTGGGGACGCAGCATTGCAAGCTGGCTGCAGCCGCTTCGGTGCGAGTTTGATCCCCGGCCCCGGAGGTGACCCACATGGTGCAGCAGACCGCTCCCGGCCTGCCCGCTGCTCCCCTCAGCAGTGTACTTCAACGATCTGCCTGTTCTGCTCCCCACTCTGTCTCTGGTGAAGCCTCTCACCGCCCCAGTTCTGTATGAATAATAAATAAATCTTTAAAAAAAAAAAAAAAGAAACAGGGTCCTCCCTGTTGGTGCAACCAGTTAAAGTGCAGCACTATGAAGCTGTCCACATCCACTGGAGCGAGAGTTCGATTCCCAGCCAGGGAGGTGACCCTCATGGCCCTGCAGACTCTCTTGACCCGCCCACTGCTCCCCTCAGCAGTGTATTTCAGTAGATCCGCCTGTTCTGCTCCCCACTCTGTCTCTGGTGAATCTTCTCACTCCCCGTACCTCTGGACTGTACCCCAGTTGTTGTATGCATAAATAAATAAATATTTATAAAAAAATTGAGGAACACTGTCATGTATCTCTGGATTCTGGATTGCTGAATATAGTAATAACTATACCTTTACCTTACATACAGCACTGGGGTTTTCAACATCCCTCCACACCCACATCTGAATGCGGGCTCAGCACAGGAGACTGTAACCCTCATTTTGGCTTATTAAAAAAAAAAAAAATTCAGGAGGCTAGGAGTTAACCTGAGACCTCCTTGCCACCAAGTGAGAGGTTCTAGACAAGACACCAGCATGAGGCTCGGCAATGACAGCTCAGGGTTTTCAGGAAAGCGGGGTGCTCTTTGGGCGCTCCCAAGGCGTGGGACTGCAGCACAACTCAGCAAAGATGAAAGCTCACTAGCTGCCTACTCACCCAAATGCTATGCCCTTAAGCCCCTCTCCCCACTCCGCAGAGGCCACCCCACTGCCAGGGTTGCTCACTTTTCAGGAGGCTCATGAAGGCCCGGATGAATCTCCGGGCGTAGGTCATCTCTGCATCCGAGGTTCCCTCTAGGTGCAACAGGTGCTGCTCAGGAGGGTCACTGGCCATGTGGGTCAGCTCTGCCAGCCCATGAGGTCCCAAATCTGGGTTCAAAGCCAGCACGAAGAGAGTGATGCCTTTGCACTTGGCTTCCAGGGACAGGGTCCACAGCTTCTCCCGGTCCCAGACGCTGGTCTCGCTGCCCACGATAATGAAAAGGACCTTAATCTTCCTGGGCAGCGGGGCTGCCAGAAGCACCCTCTTCAGTGTCCACTCCAGGGCATGGCCTAGCGCGGGGGCTCCCTGCAGGGGTTGGCCTGCGACCTCCAGGTTGTGGATGTGCCACTGCATATGTGTCTGGTGGTTGTAGGTGGTCAGGTGAAACTCTTCGCGCACAGGAGGGCGCCCAGCGCCGGGCAAGAAGCCTGCGGTCGTGTGTGTCACCAGCGCCACACGTGCCCCGTAGGGGGATTCTTTGGGCTGTGTAGCCACATGCAGGTCTTCTAGCACAGTGGACACCAGACTCAGGGCGGAGCGGTACACATTTGTCCCAACACCGTGGGATGCATCCACCAAGAAGGCCAAGTCCATGTCCAGCTCCAGGGGCGTGGGCCTTGCTGGCCTGCACTCCGCAGCTGGTCGGCACTGGTCTGGGAAGGAAGAGCAGGCAGAGGCCAGGGTTAAGCACATTCCTCTCCATACAAAATACATGTCCAGATTCTCAGTAAGGCTGGCTGCCGCTGAGCAAGCCGTAAGCCAGTGTGCCCATTTTCAGAAAGACTAGAGATGACCCGTAGTTATTTAATGTTTTTTTTTTTAAGATTGATTTATTTATGCATACGGAACTGGGGTTACCGGCCAGAGGTACGGGGTTGAGCGGATTCACCAGAAACAGAGTGGGGAACAGAACAGACAGATGGACTGAAATAAACTGGGGAGCAGTGGGTGGGTCAGGAAAGGTCTGCCATGCTATGTGGGTCACCAACACCCCCCCCACTCCCACTGCCCCGGCTGGGGATCGAACTTGTGTTGCAGTGGCTTCCATAGCTTCTTAGTGTTGTGTTTTAATCCACTGTGCCACCAGGAAGGGCCCCGATTTAATGTTTTTAACAGTTGGCCATGCGGATTCCTAGTCTCTAGGTTGAGAGACACCTACCTGGCTCCACCCCAGCTACAGGCCTTACTGGCTGTGTGACTGCAAGCAAATGACTCGGCCTTTCCCATGCCTCAGTTTCCTCATCCATCTGATGGAGATCAGGACAACAGTAAAAATACCTATCTTATGAGGCTGCTCCCAATGTTTAAAGCTTAAAAGTGAGTTAATATGTAAGTGTTCAAAACACTCTCTGTGGCTCAAGTCCACAGCTGGCCTGTTACCTCCCTGGAGGCTGACAGTCCCTGCAGGGACAGCCTGGGAATAACCTCTGTTCCACCTCAACCTACCCAAGTGGCACTGAGTAACAGTGCAGGTCCAGCAAACACCAGCCAGACTTCTCCTTCTACAGGAAAGGAAGCTGAGGCCCAGAGAGAGAACTTACTCGAGTGAGATGTCGGATGGGGAAGCACTTGGCCGTAGTAACAGCATCTACAAGTGGAGAGGCCTGCACTTGACTACCAAGAGCCCCGAGCCAAGCTCTCCATCCAGGACTAGGTCTTTGTGTGGGTCAAGCAGAGGAAGCAATTAAATCCCCCTCTGACTTCACCTCAGGACTCTGGTTGTCACAGATATAAGTACAGACTCCACTTGAACACAGGCTTTGCACAAGGGTCTCTGGCGCAGACTAGCATGGCATGTGGGATACAGAGATGAAGGCTGGAGACACAGACACTAAATAACTTGCCAGATCACAATGTCCCCAGGCCTTGATCTATCCATGCAGAGATTCTTCCCATCATGCTAAAGTGTCACTAAGGAAGGAAGCACAAGGCCCACCATCCAGAGGTGCCCAGCGGAACAGGTAAACGAGCAGGGCAGACCAGCAGTAACACAACAGGGTGGACTTAGGGCCCGGGGCACTAAGACACAGGCTGCACCCAAAGGGGCTGGCATTACTCAGCTCTGCTGATGGCCGTACCAAGGGAATGCAGCATTTGTGATTCCCAAGATGATTCTTTCTTCCTAAGAAAAACTGGACACTCAGACTTAATAGGAAATTCTTGATTTTAAACTCAGCACACAGCAAACAAATGTGCATCTGTGTAGCAGATCTGGCCTCTGGCTGCCAGCTAGTGCTTCCTGTTCGAAAGACACAAGTCCAGTCAGAATGGCTGTCCAGGCTTACCATAGCAGAGTGCACAGCGGGCCACGAGCTCCACATCCTGCTGGTATTCTGTCTCCCAGATAAACAGATGAAATCTGTTGGTTCCATCCATCTAATCCAAACACATACAAAGTTTACCCTTAACTGGATGGAATTTCAGGCCTTTGTTTTCATGTTTTCCCCCCCCCAATTCAGAAGAGACAAACATTAACATATTTTTATAAGTGTGTGTGTGTGAGAGAGAGAGAGAGAGAGAGATCTGGTGTTTTGTGAGCCCTTTGGTTCTCTAGTTCCAATCTGGAGGCTGGACTATCATCGGTGAGGGATGTGAGCTATGGGTCTTTAGACTCCCTATGTGTGTAAAACTCAGCCAGTGTTATGATGTGTTGGAATAAGAAGAGATAGTTAAGTTCAAGCATCTGTAGATTCCATAAATCTTTATTAACTGACCTCTGTATGCAGCATGCAGTGTGCCGGGAGCTGCGAACAGGGTCAGGCAGGCCCTTCCAGGGCAGTGATTCTGGCCATGTGGCTTTAGAATGCAGAGACAGCTGAGAAAGGAGTGACCCCAGCACAGGTGTTTCAGATAAGTCTGGTTTTGACAGATCGAAACCAGAAGGCAGAGTAAGAAGAAATAGGGAAGGCTTTGTTTATCTCCTTCCTACTTACATTAATATAATAACTATTATCTTGGATTAAGAGTAAAATATGAGTTACAATGATAAATCCAACCAGGTCCATGTCCGGCGACGGTTACGTGATCAACAAGCGTATCCCCTCTACTCCCCATGGCCACAGCTGGACGGTACTTGCCCACCTCCCCTGCGGTTAAGTGGGACCACATGGCGGGGTCTCACCAGGCATGTGGCCCTTCCCAGCACCGGTACTCCAGCCCATTGCTCCCTCAGCTCTCATCTGGATACAGGGGACCCAGAAAAGGTTTTGAGGCTCTAAGGTACAAGGGGCCCTGAAACAGATGCATGCAGCAAATACCCTCCCTTTCACTCACATGACCCCCCCCCCAGCCCCCTCTGCCAAAGACCCACATGAACTGTAACAGATGGCCCACATGGCCCTTTATTGCATGAAGCCTTGGAGACATGCAAGGGCTAGAATGGTTTTACAGTAAATCTGCCCTGACAGTTGTCAGGATTTCTACTTCATGGTGAAGTTAGAAATGCTATCAGATTATTTCCCTGAGGACCTGAGGTATGGTCTGCAAACACAGATTTCAGAGCTTGGCCATGGCCTTCTCTGTGTCTACTCTGCCAAAGCATGCAGGTCAGGACCCCACTGACAGTCAGCTACTCCTTAATCTCTGGCTGAGGACAAGCAAGCTCTGGATCTTCCTCTGGTAGCAAGGTGCTGGATATGAACCTGTCCTGCTAGGCCTCAGGGCTGCTTTAAAAAAAAAAAAATGCTATAACACATACTCCTTACAGAGTTTTTCAGTCCTGTTTGGGATTGTAGCAAATCCCAAACACTGCCTCAGAATGATCTTACTTAAAAGAAAAACCCTGTGGGGGGAAGAAATGCAAAGAATTGGACTTTTGTTTGTGTTAATACAACACAGAAACACATGGGAACTTTCCTCAGTTGAAAGGCAAAATGCATCCTCTTGTGTTGTTCCCAAGCAAAAGCAGCCTTAAAATAATGCTTTTCCTGACATCCCCTGCTCATGGATCGGGAGAATTAACATCATCAAAAGGGCCATCCTGCCAAAAGCAATATACAGATTTAATGCCATCCCCATAAAAATCTCAATGACATTCTTCAA